TGCTGTATTTTTCTAGTGGGATTCCTGTTTTATGGGAGAAAAACAAACACAGGTGTTTTTATTTTTAAAGAACCTCTACACTGTTTTCCATGGTGACTACTAATTTACATTAAAAGTACACAAGGGTTGTCATACTTATCTTTTGTCTTTTTGTTAATTATTCTAACTAGGGTGAGGTGATAACACATTATAGTTTTTTTTGTTTTTGGTTTGTTTGTTTTTTTTGGTACCAGGGATCGAACTTGGGTCCTTGCGCTTGCGCAGCAGGCGACGAAACCACTGAGCTAAATCCCCGGCCCAACACATTATAGTTTGATCTGCATTTTTCTGATGATTAGTGATATTGAGCATTCTTTTCAGATAATAACTGTCTTCTATTCTGTGTTCTTCCTTGGAACCTAATACATTGAGTTTGTATATTGCAGTTATTATATTTTTCGTTTGGCTGTTAATGTACTCAATTTATTTGCTTTGGATATTTATTTTTTAAATTTGTTCAAAGCACTTTCATAAGTGTTCTTGAAAAACTTTTATGATGGCTCCTTTAAAATCCTTGCCAGATAGTTCTAACATTTATGTCACCCTGAAATTAGCGTCTATTGATTGTATTTTCTTATTTACATTGATGTCTTCACAGTTCTTGGTATGGTAACTGCTTTTAAAATTAATTTTTGAGTGAAAGTTGGACATTTGGGGTATTATGTTATAGGACCCTGGATCTTATGTAAGTCTTCTATTTAGCAGGCCTACTGTGACATTGCTTTACTGGGGCAAGGGAGTTGCATCATTACTGCAGCTGGGGTAAAGTGTAGGTTTCTACCTCAGCCTCCATGACTCATAGGAGAAGAAACTCATTACTGTTGAGTAAGCTGGGAGTCAAGGCTCCTCAGTAGGATGAAATACAATAGACTAGGAGAAAATATTGCAAATAGCATATCCAAACAAAGGCTTTATATCTAGAATATATAAAGAATTCTTAAAGTCAGTATCTGAAAAACAGAATCCAAGTATAAAATGTACAGAAAATATGAGCAGATATTTTACCAAAAAGGAGATACAAATGGCAATAAGCACATTAAAAGATGTTTAACATCATTGCCAGTAGGGAAATGCACATTAAAATCACAGTGAGATACCAACTGTACACCTATTTTACTAGTTTCAAAATGAGAAAAGTAGTGACAATGCCACATGTTGGTGATGATGCAAAGAAACTGAGTCTGTCATACTTTACTGGTTATTGCAAAATGTGATAAAATTTTCAACCACCCTGAAGAGCTTGGCATTTTCTGAAAGAGTTCTATATAGACTTGCTATATCTTTTAGCATCAGATTGTAAGGCATTTATCCCAGAGAAATGAAAACATATCCATCTGTATAAGAATTCTTATAACATGTTTACTCAAAGTTATTCTCAAATTGGAAGCAATAAAAATATATCCTTCAGGGACTAATGGTTCAATAAATTCTGATACATTTATGAAATAATACTCAGTAATAAAAAAGGATGAGCCATTGATACATGCAATAACCTTGAAAGTTCCTCAAGAAGATTATGCTGAAGCTGAGGATGTGGCTCAGTGGTGCAGTGCCTGCCTGGCAAGCTCAAGGCCCTTAGTTTGATTCCCTGGTACCAAAGAAGAAAAAAAATAAATAAAAGATTATGTTGAGTGAAAGAAAGGCCAGTCTCAAAAGATATGCTTTGTGATTTTATTAATATTATGTTATCAAAATGACTAAACTGTACAGATGGAGAACAAATTAGTGGTTGCCAGGGCATGGGGACTAGAGTAGGATATGTTGGGATGGTAGTGAATATATAAAGTAAGCAAAGGGGAGTTCTTTTGTTGTGATGGAATAGTTCTTTATTTTGATTGTAATGGTGGTTATATGAATTTTAACACTAGATGAAATTACATAGGACCACATAGATAAACATATATCACATATACAAACATTAAAAATGTTAAAAATGGAATGAATTCTATAGTTTAGGTAACAGTAATGTGCCCATGTTTTGTTCCTGGTTTTGATACTGAACTATAGCTATATATGACATCATTAGAAGATGGTAAGTGACAGGAACCCAGGTCTCTTTATACTACATTTTGCAACTTACCATGAGTCTGTACTTATTTAAAAATAAACTTTTTTTTAAATTAAAGATTCTTATTTTGGATAGTTTAAGTCTAGTTCTGCTAAAGAGACGTATTAAGGGAAATCAGTATTTGCTACTTCCCATCCACCACATATCTCAAGGCCAATGAAACCTGCATATAAGTACTAATGAGAACATCTGTACATAATAACACTTTTTATTTTATTAGTGTATTTCTTTCCTTTTAATATACATGGTATATTTCTTTCCTTTATAAAATTATTTTTTAGGAAAAATGATAGTATTAAGTTAGAAGCAGTGCCATGTTTTTAACACTGTGCTTACTAGACCTTTTCTGCCAATAACAACACAGGACAAATGACATTCATGTGTTCTGCATGCTAACAGGGACAGTTTCAAATTTGACCAAACCCCAAAAACATCTTCAAGAAGGTAAAATTTTACAACTTTATTGGTGATACATTGATTTCAATCATCACTCACTATAATTGTAGCAAAGATAATAAGCTGCTAGTTAGGAGAATTGCATGTTGGCTGTAGCTATCACCTTTTATCCTTTAAAAAACATATTTAAATATATATGAGGGATGTGGCTTCATTATATGGGCAACCTAGAATCTGCTCAAATTTATTTAAATTATTTACCTACTTTACAGCTGTAGTGATTTAAACAATACATTTGAAAGCATCCATTTTAGGGGTCAAAAGTGACTTCTCACTTGAATCTGCTAATATACTCCTAGCTATGATATACTAGAAAAAATTCTTATTTTGAATATCAGACCTGGATTTTAATCTCACCCTTGCTGCTTATCAGACAAATCATTAAATGTCATGGAACCTGAGTTTCTTCAGTGTCTTAGTCACTTTCTTATCACTGGGATACAGTACCTAACAGCCACAACCTAAAGGAGGAGGGGTTTATTTTGGTTCACGATTTCAGTCCATAGTCCTCTGGCTCCAAGGCAGAATGGCATGGCAGAGGGCCATAGCAGAGGAAAAGCTCTTTACATAACGGTGGCTGGGAAACAGAAAATAAAGAGAATCACCAGGGAGGGAGATATATCCTGCCAGGTCACTCCCTGCTTCTTCTGACCAAGCCTCACCTAACAATAAGTCAGCTGTACTGCCCCCATAATTCAATCACCTTCCAAAAGCCCTTTCTATGACCACGTGAGGCTCTTGGGTTTATATCCACATCTGGATATAAACTATATTATTCAACTATAGCAATGATACCCATTCTATACCATAGTTATTTCTTTCAGCTTTTACCTTTATTAAAAGATACCTAACATCATAGCTATTTTTCACCAAATGCTTGCTTTGCCAGGAAAAATTTGTACTTAGGTTAAGAAGGCAGTATATCTGTCTTTGTATTGTGCAAAATAAATGAGAAATATATCATAAAAATGATAAATACTGAGGTATAAACTGTAAAAGAAGATAGGGATTGGAAAATGAAGAGTGCCAAACTAGCTGCAAGTTTCGAAGAAGACATGATGAAAAAAATGGGATTCAAATTGTGCTTTCCAAAAGTGGACAGCTAGAGAAGGGAAGGGAGACTATTTTAAGAGAAGTAAGTGCCTAAGGTTGTATGGTTATAAGAAAAACAGAATCGAGGGATTTATACTATTGGGGACCTACCATATAATTCTGTATTAGATTATATTTTGGAAGTTAGAAAGCTTAAAGTTTTAAGCATTTATCTCATAATGTTACATTCTTGAAAGCATACCAACAGTTGCTATGTATTTTGATGTTATTCTTGAAAGCAAGTGCACCTGCTTGGTTGCTAAGAACCCTTATGTACATTACCTTGAAATCTGGATTGGTAAGATTTACATAACTTCTATCAGTTATTGCTAAATGGACTTGTTCGCAATAAATTCTTAAGTTTTACAAATATGCGTGGCAAAGTAATGGAATTGAGAACTGGGATTTAAATATTTTAAGTCTTCTACAGTTGTTTTTGTTTGATATTAATGTGTATCAATTTAATTTAATCAGAGAAAACTTTGATAGTCTAATAACTTCTATTCCTAAATTATGGTTGATGTTTTTGATACTGTAACTGCAGAAAATATAGGATGTGAATGATTTAATAATTGCCTTGTACATATGATAGTATTATCTCGATTTAAAAATTTTTCTTTTAGTATTTGCCATCCTCAAAGAGGATGATTAATAGAGGTTAGTTAATAGAGGATGGTTAATAGAGGTATAGGTTAATGAAAGTTTAGTTTGGTATTCAATAGGTTTTGTTTTGTATAGCATTGAAGCAAAGAATCTTTGTGGGACAAATAGAGCTACAGTTTTGTTTTGTTCTTTCTCCAATAGTGAGTCAACCTGAGCTACTTGTAATTTATCAGCTTTTGAGATCCTTTTTGCTATATAATTTCAGTTTACCATTTTTGTGAACAAAATATCTTAAATATTTGTTGAATACCTACTATATACAAAGCATTATACTCAGCATGGGTGGAACAAAAAAGAGTTATGTGATACACACCCTCAGGGATGTAGTAGGAAAGGAAAATACATACACAAATAACTGTGATATAAAGCAGTTTGCCTTTAAGTGCCCTGAGCTTTGTGAGATTGCAGATTTCAGAAGGAGAGCATTTTTAAATGGCTGACCAAGAATGATTTCATAGAACCAGGAGCATTTGACTAATTCACATAGCTTATAAATGCATATTAATATGGCAGTGTGATATAGAAATCCTGAAGTAAAAACTCTCCTCACTGCCAAAGATTTTATCTTTATAAATTGGTGAAATTTAATTACTATAAATCTAATTTAAGGTACATATTTGTACTTTTATAAATAAACATTTTGCATATATGTGGTAGGTAATTAATGTTTTTATGTTTTTAGGCCATGAATATCATCGTTCCTTTCATGTTTAAATATGCTGTAGACAGCCTTAACCAGATGTCGGGAAACATGCTGAGCATGAGTGATGCACCAAATACAGTTGCAACCATGGCAACAGCAGTTCTGATTGGCTGTATGTGTGATTCTTTAATCTGCCTACAGGTGTTGACTTTCTTCAACAAGGTTTCATCATATTTGAGCAGATGACCTTTTCAGTACAAACACAACTTAGGATTTTGGATGTTTATTACTTTATGTGAAATTCCTTTTGTTACGTATTTTAAAATTTTTATTATACGATATACTTTGTAAAACTTCTGTGATAACAGTAGCATTTTCCATATTCTAGAAAACAATAGTATGAGATACTAAATTTATAACAACCTTTCCAGTATGACTAGATATTTTCTTGCTTGTATTGCTAGCTATTAAATAGAAATAGCTAAATGATGATACATATTAACATTAATGCTTTGTTAAAATGTATTAAAAAACTATGACACACATTTACAGTGTGAAAAGAACAGAATATGAATGCTATATGGCTCCATGCATTAAAAAGGATATTTTTGATACTCTGGAGACATATGCAGGGGCATGCTTTTTGTCAAGCCATTTTACTTTTCAGAATCTCAATCTTACCATTTGTTAGTTGAGGGAATTTAATTAAACAACTTCAACCAATACTGTACATTTATTTGCAGTAAGACCATATGGGATATTATTTATTGAAAGTATTTTAATTGGAAAATATCTGAAATCTGGGATGACACTGAAAAGGATTCATGATGATGGAAAGGCTAGTATTAATTAGGGTAATGATTTCTAGGTTTCTTTAAGTGTAAATGTACTGTGATATGAGTGAATTATTCATTGTATATTTTATGAGCCCCTGCCATTTTACATTCCAGTGATTCTAATGTTTTTACACCCCAGTTTTTTTCTTTTTAATGTATTGTTAGATGGTGTATCAAGAGCTGGAGCTGCCTTTTTTAATGAAGTTCGAAATGCAGTATTTGGCAAAGTAGCCCAAAATTCAATCCGAAGAATAGCTAAGAATGTCTTTCTCCATCTTCACAACCTGGATCTTGGTTTCCACCTAAGCAGACAGACAGGAGCTTTATCTAAAGCTATTGACAGAGGGACAAGAGGTATCAGTTTCGTCCTGAGTGCTTTGGTGTTTAATCTTCTCCCTATCATGTTTGAGATGATGCTTGTCAGTGGTGTTCTGGTAAGTAAAGCGTATTTCATAGAAAGCTTTTTTCTTACATTCTTAGTAACAGTTGAATATTTGAAGCTATTGTGCTGTTGCATGCCCACGGGCTTGAGAGTAAAATTCTGTGTTGCTAAAATGATTATACGGTTTGTTTAAAGGCACTGCCTAAATTCTTTATCATGTTGTTATTGTAAAGAACTGTTTGGTCTTATACATAGATCAGGATTAACTAGTGTTTGTGAATTGTTTTTAACAGAGAATTTTGTATATGTCATTGGCCTGATATGCTCAGAATACCTGTTTCTACTGACCATTCATAACATTTTAGGCAGTTTCATTTTTTATAGTTAAAAATCATGTACATATATACTTATTATTCTCCTTCAGCATGTTGTACTGTTTAAGTGTTAGCATCTGATAATAGTATAAATGTGGCAAATACAGTTTGACTTTCTTTTCACATTACCTAAAGTAGATTATCTAAGGAATTTGACTTTCATCCATTATTGACATATTCAACTTCCAACCATCATATTTCTATTAATACTTTTGACTGAAATTTGCTATTGTATATTTTAACCCGTTTGACAAGAACAGCGACTTTTTCTCATTTCTTCTTTGACTTCTTTTTCCAGTATTGCAAATGCGGTGCCCAGTTTGCATTGGTAACCCTAGGAACACTTGGTGCATACACAGCATTCACAGTTGCAGTCACACGGTGGAGGTATGGTATTTTCCAAAGGCCAGTTGAGATTTCAAAATTAGTTATGCTTTTATAACATACATTTCATGCCTGTGAAAATCTTTGTCTTACAGAACTAGGTTTAGAATAGAAATGAACAAAGCAGATAATGATGCAGGCAATGCTGCTATAGACTCACTGCTGAATTATGAAACTGTGAAGGTAATACATTTCATTATACTTCCTGTGACTTTCAGACACCACTAAGATTTGTTCTGCCATTTAATTTAATAGGTGCTATAAATTAACAGGTTCATATTAGGATAATATGTCTAGGTGTTACAGAATTATACTACTTGGCTTTTTTTTTTTACTTACAAATTACCTTGTCTTCTCAGTTTTTGTTTGGCAACATCAGAATTTTATCTTCTTAGTTAATTTATAAAAAACTCATAAATACATAGTTAGCATCTTGACTTAGGAAGGACATTAAGCTAATCAAACTGCTGTGTAAGTTCTTGACCCTCTTTTTATCCCTCAGAGTGCCTAGCATAGTGCTTTTCATTAATTCTTTCATCTCTGTTTATTTTTCCATTTTTCAAGTACTGTACTAATTGCTGTGATTACAGTGTAATCACTCGCTTTCTGAATGTTATAGTCTGCTGCAGGAGTTAAAGTAAGTATGTAGATAACTAAGCAAGAATTAAAAGGACGAGGGCAATGGGAACTGCCTGTTCCAAATCTCAGGGGATCGGGAAAAGGTTTTTTTGAAAGAAGTATCATTGAAGGCTTTTTTTTAGATCTATGTTCAAATTAGCTAGAAATTCAGTAAATATTTGTTGGTTGAATTTTGTGGGGTTTTTCAAATATAATCCATTGTAGAAAACTGTAGAAGCACCATAGTCCAATATATTGAAAACCAGTTTTTAAAATGAAGTCTATACTACAAAATTGTAGTCATATATGAAGTCTAATGAAACATATACTAATCACTTTAAAGATTACATTTCAATTATACTCGTCTATAGTTACTATTCTTATATATTTGTATATTTTGTAGTATTTTAATAATGAAAAATATGAAGCACAAAGATATGATGGATTTCTGAAGACATATGAGACTGCTTCCCTAAAAAGTACCTCTACTCTGGCTATGCTGAACTTTGGCCAAAATGCTATTTTCAGTATTGGTTTAACAACTATAATGGTGCTTGCCAGTCAGGGAATTATGGCAGGTAATGGACCTGTGGTTATTACGTTTGTATATATACTGTTTAACTTTTACAAATAAAGATTAATGAAAGGAATGTACATTAGTCTTATTTATTAGACTATTCAATAAACTGCTTTACCATGGAGTGTTTTCCTTTTTGTATCATAATGTGTTTTACTGATTGACCATTTTATAGGTCTACAACCTGACTCTTTCAGGAGCAACTATTCTTTTAATATTTAGTGTTTCTAATTTCTGTTACAGACCAGGGAAGCAATGCTATTAATTTAGTGCTCAGTTTAAAGGACTAAAATGAAAACTGTCTTTTCTGGAGTTAACAATAACTTTATAATCTTTAAGTTTTTCATTTGCATAACATTTCCTAAGTAAATAATGTCCGTGCCTCTTTTTTCTAACCCCCCCCATTTAGAGCTTATTCAGTTACTGTAACATTAGTAATAAAGTTTATCATTATCAGTCATGATGTCCATTTGCTGACATTTTAAAATATACACTATTATTTAAAAATTTCTGTTTTATACTACAAAGAAATTGTGGTTTGTGTCTTAGGGAAGAAAGGACAGATTTTTAAGCCTTCCATTTCTTTCCTCATTTAAACCATTCCTTGTATGTTATGTATAATGTATAGATGGGCTTTTTCCATTCTGCTTAACATTTAATGAAGTTCTCTATATTACCTAAATCATAGATTCAAATACTTTGCAATTGAGTTGGCTTGAAAGTTGTTGATTATGTTTAATTTCAACTGGATTTCATAATAATAAGCTATAAAATTTTCTGTGTTCATCTGGGAAAGTTTATAACATTCATCTAAAATAACTTTTTTCCCTCTTCTGCCAATTACATATTAAGGTACCCTTACTGTTGGAGACCTAGTAATGGTGAATGGACTGCTTTTTCAACTTTCATTACCACTTAACTTTCTGGGAACTGTATATAGAGAAACTAGACAAGCACTCATAGATATGAACACTTTGTTTACTCTACTCAAGGTAGACACCCGAATTAAAGTAAGTAATTTATATAGTACCTTTCTAAAAGTATGTAAGCATCATTCCATTAATATTGTATTATTCTAGGGCCATATTTTATATCACCATGTTAGCAGACTAATTTCTCTTACAGGAATTAGTTACTGTATGTATTGAGGTTGTTACAGCTTTTACTTGTATGACAAAAAATTACAATGTTAGCAAAGAATATTCAACCTAGAAGCTACATTGTTAAATAATTTATACTTACACTGCGTTTACTTTTACTTAATAATGATATGAAATATATGATTGCCTCTCTTCATATCCTTCACCCCATACTCCCTCGATCATCATCCTTTCCCTCACCCTTCCCCTGAAAATTACCAGCAATCTAAACATTCTTTTTTTACCTTACCAGTGAGGACTGGAAAAAAAAGTCTTTATAAGCATGCTTAGAAGTGTTCTAATTCCACTTATATGAACTTCTTCCTTCCCTGTTGTTTTCCTTTTCCTCTCTGAAAAAATTGTCAATATAGCTATAATGAATATAATATGTAAAGTGGTGATTTTCTTTTTTCTTATCTCTGCTAGGACAAAGCATTGTCATCTCCCCTTCAGATCTCACCACAGACAGCTACAATAGCCTTTGATAATGTGGATTTTGAATACATTGAAGGACAGAAAGTCCTTAATGGATTATCTTTTGAAGTCCCTGCAGGAAAGAAAGTGGCCATCGTAGGAGGTAGTGGATCGGGGTGGGTAATTTAGTTATTTATGCAGTTCTACATTATTGACTAATAATTCTAAATGTGATTTTTTTTAACCCTAATGGAATGATTGCTATGGTTTAAAAATGGGGTTTCTTTAATGCCTATAGGAGCTAAATAACCTTTCCTAATCTCCAATTTCAGGAAAAGCACAATAGTGAGGCTGTTGTTTCGCTTCTATGAGCCTCAAAAAGGTAGTATTTACCTTGCTGGTCAAAATATACAAGATGTGAGCCTGGAAAGCCTTCGGAGGGCAGTGGGAGTGGTACCTCAGGTATTTAAAAACAGAAAAATACAAGCTTTGGAAGATTTATTGGATTGGGAGATATGTAACTAGAATAATTTGAATCTAAGGAGTCAGCATATGCTAATAAAGTGGGTAGTATTAGGCCCCATGGGTGAAATTCTTTTACCAAAAAGAATTTTTAAGAGGGAAAAAGAAAAATACTCGAATGGATAATGTGCATGGTGGAAAGATTTCTAAGTCCTAGAATAATAATATAATAAGTGGAAAGAGCATAGAACTACAGTCCAACAGACCTGGATTCTAATGCAAGCTTTAAGCCTTAGTTCTATGGTTTTGGGCCTCAGTGTCCTCATCTATTTACTTTATAGGTAAAATTTTTATTATAGATTAGAGTTAGTATAAAAGTACCCAGCACAGTATCCATCACATAATTGTTCAGTAAACAGAAACTATTATTGTAATTTTGAAGAGCTTTTGACATAGTGAATTTATAATTATGAAGTAGTTTGGCTGCCAGCCTCAAGTCTGTATGCCATTTTCACAACTGTGCTCTCAGTACCAAGCAGTGTCTGACCCATAGTAATCATTTAATATTTGCCAAGTGACTTTGTGTGTGTGTGGGGGGGGTGAGTTCAAAGTAAGATCTGAGAAGATGAGAAGTAGATAGCCTTATAAGATGTGATACTTTCTTGTGTTGAAAGATTATAGATACCTGGGAATTAGCTGCAGCTAGTATTTATTAGAAAGTTGACTAGTAGAACCAAAATCAAATCTCTGGGGAAACAGACCAAAATAATGGGGAAGGGGAAGGGAGAGACTGTGAGAAAGTGACGGACAAGGATATGTAGCTTGTAAAAGGTCTCTAGCAGATGACACTCTTTTCTGTCCTCTCTTTTCACTGATAATCCCAAATTTTAGTGGCCAAGAGTCACCTAGGGATATTATTGAAATTCCAGGTTTTTTCACACACTCAAGTTCTGCTTATGGGAGCCAGTGTAGTATCCAGAAATGTGCATTTTAAGTATGTACCCTAGGTGATTCTAATAGATGGTTTGTAGATTATATGTTGGGAAATACTCACCTAAACTGTGTCTGGTGAACTAAATTCTGGGATATGAGAGGACCAGAGCCATTATTCATATAACTAAATTTCTGTCATTTTCTTGAGTACTATAATGATTACCCTCATCCTTTTGAAAGATACAAAGTTTTATTCACAGAGGAAAATTATATAAGATCAGTAACAAAAGGTGCTCATCCTCATTGGAGACCTTAACCATATATATGAAAAACAAGATAACTGTTTTTTTTTTCCGGTACCAGTGATCCAACTTGGGACCTTGCACTTGCGATGCAGGTGGCAAAACCACTGAGCTAAATCCCCAGCCCAAGTTAACCATGTTTTACCTGTCAGATTCACAAAGATTTTGAAATTCAAAATATCCAGCTTGGGAAAAACTATAAAATACAGTCTGTTGTTTTGCCTGTGGAAGGTTAGCTTTCTTGGTAAGAAAATTGGGACTATTTATGAAGTGCCTGAGAAGTATTCATACTCCTTATTCTGCTAATTCTGCCTCTAGGAAATTTTAGTGAGGAATTAAACAGATGTGAACAACTTTGTATATATATATAATGATGTTCATTGCAATATTATTTATAATAACAAAAGTTGAAAATGATATAAATGTCCAAAACAAAACAAAAAAGTGCCAAATATCATGTAGCCATTTATAAATACTGTGTTGTTAAAGAATGTGTTGTTAAAGAATGCTGAGTGTCATGAACAATGTGGAGATACGAAGCTTGATGAAAAAGAGGATGCTAAATAAAATATCACAGTTTTTAATAGTACCTTAATACTTTTGCTAATAGAAATAAAAGATAGGAGAAAATACACCAAAATGTTAATAGTTTTTGCTGAATGCTGGGATTATTAATTATGTCAGTTTTTAAATTTATAAATTCTGTATATTTAAGGTATACAATATGAGGTTATAAGATACCTATAAACAGTAAAGTTGGGAGGCTGAGGTAGGAGGATCACAATTTTCAGCCCAGCCTGGGCAACTTAGTGACTTAGCAAGATCCTGTCTCAAAATTAAAAATTAAAAATATGACTGGGGATGTAGCTAAGTGCAAAAGACCTGCGTTCAATCCCCAGTACTCCCCCATTTGTTTTAAGTAGTAAAGTAATTACTGTAGTGAAGTAACATATTCATCATCTCACATAGTTACCCAATTTTTGTGTGTGGCAACAGCCCCTAAAACATCATTTCTCAAAAGTCATGAAAGAAGTCCAGTGTTTAATTGATTTTTATTTTACCTTTTCACATTTTCAAAATTTTCAGTTAGCATTTGTTAACTTTTTTTGGAAAATAGTATATTTTAACATAGTATAGTATATTAGAATAGTATAATAAATTCTTTGTTTTCTGTGTTTCAAGTACAGTGTCAAAACTTCTTAGAAATATAGGAAACCATTTTTAACCTCATTAATAAATTAGAGAAATGCTACTTTAAACAAAATCATATTCCACCTCTAAAAGTACAAAAACTAAAAATTATTAATATCCAAGATTTCTGAAGGTATGGGGAACTGGCAACTTCAGACACTATTGAAAGGAGTGTACTCATTTTACTGTTGTTTATGGAAGACAGTTGGGCAATATTATTAAACGATAAATGACCCATCACTCTACTTCTAGGAATCCTTCTTGCAGAAATATGCACAGGTACACATGTTATATATGTAATGATGCTTTATTCCAACGTTCTAGAAGCAAGAATTTGTTAATTACATTAGTGTCCATTAATAGGGGAATCGATAAATCATTATATAGCTATAGTATCTATAGTTTAGAAATATAACACTGTTAAAAGAACTAAGTATGTTTCTGTCATTTACATGGACAACTTCCAAAACGTGTTAAGTGTAAATAGGAATTTGCAAAAAAAAAAAATATATATATATATATATGTATAGAATGCCTCTATTGTGTTGGGGCAAAAAAGCATATGTTTAGGCATATAAATGCATAGAAAAAGTCTGGAATTACACATGGCAAATTATTCTTGGTGACTAGGTCTGGGAAAGCAAATGGAATTGCAGGGATGTGGGTGATAAAATTGGCTGTTGTGTTTTGTTTGTATGCCTTTATGTCTTTATGATTGTTCAGATTTTTGTAATGAACTTACATATTTGTGTGTGTATATATATATATATACATAAATTTTCAGGATGCTGTCCTCTTCCATAATACTATTTACTATAACCTGTTATATGGAAACATCAGTGCTTCGCCTGAAGAAGTGTATGCAGTGGCAAAATTAGCTGGAATTCATGGTGCAATTCTTCGAATGCCACATGGATATGACACCCAAGTAGGGGAACGAGGACTCAAGCTTTCAGGTGATCAAAAATTTTAGATCCACCTCCTACTCATATACTCCCTTCAAACTAATTTGTTAGAGCCATTTACATTACTGATATAAGTCCGGGTAGATCAGTTTAATTTATAAATCATAATCTTTGTATTAAAAGAAAGCTAAGATTATTATTCATTTGGGAAAGTAGTAAGGGTAGGGAGAAATAATTTCATAGTGAGTAGTGTATCTCTCATAATTTCTTAGGGGATATTTAAATACTTTAAGCTTCTTATACTTGATCCCATTCTTGTCATTGATAGCTTCCTGATAAAGGAAATTTAGGGGCTTGTATCTTCCTACTAAAGTGTTTATGAGATTGCTAGGTTAAGAATGAATTAAGCTAAAATGATTTTGTATTTTTTAAAAGTTTCGTAAAAGTGTTTCATTGCCCTAAATGATTTGAATTCTGAAATGATATTGATATCTAATGCTTGACAGTAAGAATTGATGCAAGTTATACAAATATACTACATCCTCTACTTATATTCTTCATTCTAGTTTAGTTCAGGGAGGAAATATACAGATTAAGAGTGAGGGTAAGACAAAAACAGAATAAAGAATACCCTGCATACATTTTAATGAATCTCCATTCCTTTTCTTTACATACCAGCTTCTTTTATTCAGGTTCATTAGATACATACTGTGTACACGCTATTGTGCTAAATGATTTAAGAGTTAAAAGGATGAAGCATAAACAGGCCTGCAGTCAACTATAGTTTTATGTAATCAGTAATGATTTTAGACCTGTAGGAGTTCCACTGATGAAAACTAATTTGTTTTTTTTTGTTGTTCATCTTTTGAGTTTTTTCTTTCACTAAATATTTTTGTTGTTTATTTAGGATATAACTATTTCCTAAATATTTATTTTTATATTTAAGAATCCATTGTTCTAGAAGTCAGATCAGAGCTAGTCTAGATTCTGCTGAAACTAGCTCTGTGATCTTAAATCATTTAACCTTTCTGGGCTTCTGCTTCCTTTTAGTTTTTAAAAATTGGTTATGCTAGAGTCCTATAACAGAAAACTAATGAGAAGTAAGAAGTATCTAGTATATACACTTAATTTTGAAGAGTGCTGTGAAAATACTAGCTTTCTGTCAATAAACATCCTTTAAAAAACTGGCTGAATGGTATTTTTAATGTTAAGATGTAAATTTAGATTTTTATAGTTGCATGCCATCAGGTTATCAGGGTTCCAATGAATTTGTTTTTGGCTTTGTTGATTGTCAAATATTAACTTTTTAAAAATTTGAGAGTGCTGTTCCTCAAGAGTATCTACGATATAAAGTAGCTTATATAATGAGAATATTTCTGATAAGAACAATCACAGTTTTTACCTCCCCTCCTCATTTTCATTCTTTTCACCTGCTACAAAGTCAGATTTCAGTATGACATTTATATTCAAGGTAATATAGTTTGTAAAAGGATATATCATACATGAATTTAGACTCTACAGCACAGTAAAATGGGCAGTGATCAGGAATACAAGTAAATGTTAAATATTTTACGTGGTGAATGTAATCAATGGAAATACTACAAACAAAATATGTGGTGTGATTAAAAAAATACAATGCATGTTTAAATTTTTAAAATATGTTAGAATAAAAGACACATTGCCATTAATTCCCTCAAAATACTCCTTTTCTTTGAAGACACTTATCCGATCGCCCTTGTCACTTTCTGAAGCAGTTCTGGAAGTCTTTTTTCATGAGTGTCTTTCTTTGTATTATTGTGGCTGCCTCAGTGTCCTGAATTGATTCAAAATGTTTACCTCTCATGGTTATTTTGACTTTGGAGAAGAGCCAGAAATCACGTGGTACCAGATCCAGTGAATAAGATGGATGAAGACACACCATATGATTTTTTTTTTTTTTTTGGTACCAGGGATTGAACTAGGCTCCTTGAGCTTGCAAGGCAGACGGCAGAACCACTGAGCTAAATCCCCGGCCCCACCATACGTTTTTTATGAATCTACTTTTTCTGTGGGTGGCACTTTGAAGCAACATTCACTGTATTTTTATCTCACATTGTAAAGACACTTAGAATAAGAGAATTCATCTCTTCATTATATTTCTCTAAACTAAAATTTTTCTTTGTCAGGAGGAGAAAAGCAAAGAGTGGCAATTGCAAGAGCCATTTTGAAGGACCCTCCAGTCATTGTCTATGATGAAGCCACTTCCTCATTAGATTCAATTACTGAAGAGGTAATGGATATGAAGAAAATATAGAGCACTTTAGTGCTTTAACTTTTTTCTTTGGAAGTTTCAAGAAAATGTCTACATTTCTTTGTATTTTAAGTGAACATCAAAAGAAGGTGCTATAGAGCAGAGTACCTAACCTTTTTTCCTATATGGGAAATGTTGATGCTAAGAATGCCAGGTTGCGTTGAACTAGATATCATATTGTTAAGTCTGTTTGCAAACATGTCTTCTTTTTGAATTGTTGTCACCTTATACTGTTATTATTTTACCCTTGCATCTTGTAAAGCTATACAAATTGCCTAATATGCTGACAAAGGAAGAGAGTTTTAATCTTCTCCTGTTGCCATTTACACTCATTAATACAAGTTATGTAAGTGATTGTGATCATTGTGACACAATGCACACCAGGAAGCCTTTCACTCATCTTGGAGCAGCTCATTGAAATGCAAGTCAAGCACACACAAGCTTCAGTGCTGGTATCAATTTTTATTCATTCCATACTAAGTGTTGTGAAATACCAAAAGGTTGTGACACTAATGTCCGGCTAATATCCCTACAACTGTGTTGCAATTTATAACAGCAACTTCAAATTGCATATGAAAGTCTCAATAGCAATGATAATTTCATAAACAATTTTCCTTAACCGAGAACTGAAGATAAGCAGATGTTATCAGTTGCCAGTATTCACATACCTTTTAATTCAGTGAGTGGTATAAACCTAGTGTTCGCCTGGGATTTAGCTCAGTGGTTCTGCCACCTGCCTCACCAGCACAAGGATCTGAGTTCGATCCCCGGTACCAAAAAAAATAAAAATACCTAGTGTTGAAAGGTCTACTTTCAACTTTACAGGCTGTATGACATAATATTTGCATATGGAGATAAGTCTAAGGATGTATTAAGTGATCAGCAACATATTTTTAACAATTTAACTTCAAAGTGAATTGATTAGCATGAGGATTTCTTGTAGAGTGAACTTTAAGCACAACCAGATCCCATTCATTAGAACAGTAAAAACCTACTTAAAAGAACTTGATACCTAAAAATATCTCATACTACCACAAATTAAAAGTCCTACTGTTACCAGGTTTTACAGTGCTGTAGTCTCCTTCTAAAGCTGATTTCTAGATTCTTTCTGTTCTGAACAAATTGACCAAGACAAGCACAAAAGATAGCAAGATGTTACATTTATTAATGGTAGGAAAAGAAACATGCTCTGCAGAGTGAGTGTGAGCCAATTAAAAATAGGAAAAGAAGGGTGAGAGTTATGCAAGATGAGAGTGGACACCATGAAAGAGGGAACACAGTCACCAAGAGCTCAGTAGCGGCTATCTTTTGTATCTGCCACTCCTTATTATCCTATCCAAAACCTGCTTGAACTCTCCCAAGAATTGACCATAGTGTTCTCTGATTGGTCCCAGGTGCAGGGCTTGGCACATGTACTAGATCTCCATGATTGCCAGGTCACTCCTGCTTGCCTAGCCAGTGGGCCACACGCTAATCTCATGCTTCACTACCAACAGTCCTTTTTTAAAATAAACATTCTTTATTTTATCATTACATGTTTGCAGTATGTGCAGTTTACATACAGTCTTCTTGGGGAATGAGTACATGTACATTAATACAGCTTTGTTTTTTTTTATCCCCTTCTCCCTCTTCCTCCCTCCTCTTAGTCTCCTATCCCAATTTTCATTCTTATTGATATTATTAATCTTAGGTTATTAGCTTTCTATACATGGCTTATCTTTATTCTACTTATTTCCACTTCCTCTCCTCCTCACCCTTTGCCCTTGTTCCCTAGGACCATTTCCCTTTCGCAAGAGATACAACCCCTTGTGCCCTTTTATCCATCCTTTATTATTCTTTGTTTGTGTTTTACCTTACTCAAATGAGAGATATCATACAGTATTTAAGCTTATGTGTCTGGCTTATTTCACTCAATGTATATTTTCCAGGTACAACCATTTTCCTGCACACGTCTCATTGCAGTCTTTATACCTGAGTAGTATTCCATTATATATCAATACCATATTTTCTTTATCTAATCATCTGTTGATAAGTATACAGTCTGCTTTCAGGACTTAGCTATTATGTTATTGCTATTAATATTATAGCTATTAATATTGCTATGCATATATCATTGTAATATGATGTCTTAAGCTCTTTGGGGAAATACCTAGAAAGGGAATAGCTGGGTCATATGGATTTTCTAACTTCAGTTCTTTGAGAAATCTCCATACTGATTTCCATAATGGTTGTACTAGTTTACATTCTCACCAACAATGAAAGAGTGTTCCTTTTTCACCACAGACATACTAGCATTTATTATTGTTTGATTTCTTTTTTGTTTCTTTGTTTGGTTTTTGTTTTTTGGTTTTTTTTGGTACCAGGGTTCGAACTCAGGACCTTGGGCTTCCAAAGCAGGCGGTGGCACCACTGAGCTAAATCTTTGGCCCTATTGTTTGATTTTTTAATGATTGTCTTTCTTTCCAGAGTAAGATATAATCTTAACATTGTTTAAATTTGCATTTCTCTAATGGCCAGAGATGTTGAACATTTTTTAATATATTTGTTGACCATTTGTATTTCTTCCTCTGTGAATTTTCTGTTCTTTTCTCTTGGCTATTATTTAACTGGGTTTTTAATTTTAGGTGGTTTAATTTTTTTTAGTTCTTTGTATATTCTAGATATTAGTCCTCTATCTGAGGAGTAGATGGCAAAAACTTTTTCCCATTCTGTATGTTGTCTCTTCACTATACTAATTGATTGTTTTGCTGTACAAAAGTTTTTTAGTTTGATAAAATCCCATTTGCTGATTTTTGCTGTTATTTCTTGTGCATTTGAGATTCTGTTTTAAAAATCCTTCCCTATACATGTCTTGAAGCGTTTTACCTATTTTATCTTCTAGTAGGTTTAGTATTTGTTTTAATGTTTAGATCTTTAATCCATTTTTATTTTCATTTAGTTTATAGTGAGAGATAAGAGTCCACTTTCAATCTTCTGTGAACAGATAAGCAGTTTTCCCAGCACCGCTTGTTGAATAAGCTATCTTTACTCCAACATATGCTTTTGAACCTCTTGTCAAAGATCAAATAGCTGAAAGTGTCTGGGGATGTTTCTGTATCCTGTAGTCCAGTGATGGAATACTTCTTAGAGCTTTCAGTGATACAAACAGCCCACTGCAGCACACATGCTGTAAGTTCACCATCATTGCTCTATTCTGTTACATTGATCCACATAATCTGGTTTTTTTCCAGTACCATGCTTTCTTTTTTTTTTTTTTTGGTATCAGGGATCAAACTTGGGACCTTGTGCTTGTGAGGCAGGCAACCATGCCATTTTTATCACTGTTGCTTTGTAGTATAGCTTGAAGTCAGGTATTGCAAGGCCTCCTGCTTTTCTGTTGTTGCCCAAAATTGCTTTTGCTATTCTGGGTCTCTTCTGGTTCCATATGAATTTTAGTTCTAGTTCTGTAAAGTGTGCTGTTGGTATTTTAATTGAGACTGCATTGGATCTCGATAACAGTTTTGAGTATGGCCATTTTGACAATATTGGTTCTGTCTATCCAGGAACAGGAGACATCTTTACCTTCTCTCTCTCTCTCTCTCTCTCTCTCTCTCTCTCTCTCTCTCCC